TGAAAACCACCCCAACAGCTGCATTAGAGACACTTTTGAATCTTCCTCTTTTACATATTATAATACTACACCGTAAAAGTCCTGAATGACAAAAAGTGAAGAATGAACAGTAAGTTCGATAAAATGTCCGACAGAAACAGGTCGACGGATCGAAAACCGAACATTAGACGGTGGCTGGAATTTACTGCACGCGGAGAAATTTTCATCTCAGTTACCCTTCCGATCAGTACATATTGTCTCCCAAGTGAATTGTATGCAGATTTGCAATGCCCGAAATATTAGTGTAAGTCTCCAAAAAATAAGCGTAACAATATTTTCACAGACTACTAGGCTGAACTTGGGATACCGATAAACCCAAATGTGATATCGAGATTGGTATGGAAATGCCGTGAAGAACTATGGAAACTGTCGCACAATAACAGGTTTACCCTATACTGAGTGACAAGATCACAGGTATCACAAAAAAACTGATGAGTGTGCCAGACACATTTCATCAATTTCATATACTTTGTACCAGCTGTGGCAGTTTTTGGTAAGGAACCAGATTGGAGGAAACATAAGGATTACTGGGGATGTATACCCGAAAACACAGACGAAAAGACGTTTAAAGGGGACTGTGCGAGAAGAAAATCGAAGAACTGCTTCAGCAAAAAAGGGGTCGACTGAAAAAAACCAAAGAGCTACTAACTGGGCGGAATATGGCTGTGCAACGGAGACTTTGGCTCTAGGCAATCTAACAAATGGCCAGAGATAGCTGCTATATTTTATGGGAATGTGAGACGGGGTATCATGGGGGGTAAACAATTATTGGACAACCCAAATTAACACGCCGAACATTTTCGAACACAGTAACGTCAATATCTCTACAAATATTTATTATTCTCTGCCGTAAATCCAATATTGAAGCAGGTTCAGTTTCGTAGACCTTTTGCTTCAAAGAGCCCCATAAAAAAAGTCCAAAGGTGTCAAATCTGGCGAGCGAGCTGGCCATTCTTTAGGACCTCGACGGCCATTCCAACGACCGGGAAAAGTAGTATCCAAATAGTTTCTTACTTGTCTTGAGTAATGTGGTGGTGCTCCATCTTGTTGGAATACAATATCGATATCGAATTCATTGGGATTCGCTTCGATGATTTCAGTGATGATCAATAAATAGAGTTCCTACAACATGGTTTCACAATATTCCTGTTCAAACGTTAATTTTTTCTGGATATTGGGTATGTGTTTCCAGGAAAACGTGAGGGTTGGTGTCACTCCAATAACGGCAATGTTTGTGAACATTGCCGTTCAAATAAAGTGTACATTCGTCACTAAAACAAATGTTGTGGAGACAGGTAGGATGCCTTGCAATGAATTCCGTCATAATTTCGCAGAATTCTGTTCTTCGATCAGGGTCATCTTCAGTTAATTGGTGTACTATTTTAATTTTGTATGGATGATACCTATTCCTCTTCAAAAGTCTCCACACAGTAGAAGGAGACACCTCACAAACGTTCGCGACAGAATAAGTAGACTGTTCAGGATTTACTACTATCTCACCAATTATTTGCACTTGCTGTTCTTCCGGAATGGACGGATGACCTGGGGAGCTTTTTGTTATGTACACTACCGGTAGTTGTGAATTTGGATACAAGTTCCCTCAAATATTTTCTACAGATAGGACGATTCGGAAAACGTTCATTGAAAATCCTTTCGGTGTCGTGAAAGTTACGCGTATCATCGTAAATAAAAATCGCTTCAATTTTTTCTTTCAATGGACGAGAATTGACCATTTTAGAGATTGTTGACGTGGTACCTTTCTACTACTAAAACGGAAAACTAAATGAGAATATTCTGACTGAACATTGTCGTATTGACATTTTTTGTCGTTTTTATAAATAAAAAATAACTTAACAAACCTTATCGGATTGTTGGAATTGCCATATGGCAGATAAAAAGAAATATTTCTAGAAATATCGATATGAATATGTTTGTCTTCAGGAAATTATTAAATGTTCCGCCATTTTGTAGTAGGTGAAGATATTGACTTCATATTCTAGGGTTGTGAAGTATTCGTCGGGAGCTTCAAAATGATATCACAAGATCTCCCTTTCCATTTAATTTTTTTCCCAGATGGCGCTCAGTTTCATCTGTCAATTTCACTTCAAAATAAAGTATTCATGCATTAATTTCATTATCCCAAATTTCAATTTTTTGAGTTGACCCGTTCAAAAAATGAAAGGGAGAGGACATTAAAGAACTGCACTGTATATGTCAAGTCTGACTGTTCTGATTTAACGCCTTTCTAGACAATGGAAGTCACAACTTGTAACATTCACCAAGAAACATTGTCAACCACTTTCAACCTACACTCGCAAGTAGGTATTTATTATCTTTACTGTGAATTTGATTATGATCACCGTGAACGTTGCTTGGAGTATGATGTGCGACAATCAGAGCAGTATATATGCTATCATAGTATGATAACCGAAATAGCCATTTTCCATTGTAAATCTCCATAAAAAAGCAGGTATAACATGTTAATTCTGTAACTAAACTTCTTCAAAAAGTCGCTTAATGCATCCAAAAATTTACTAGATATTTCCCCAAATTCATAAAATGAGAGTGCAAAGACCGAAAACCAAATTGTTGATTTTGCCGCTACATTTACTGAAGTATCATTAGATCCATTGAAATCCGGTTAATCCGGAATTAGAATCGACACTTGAATTCCTCAACCTTCAATTAGTTTTACTAACCGGTATTTCAGTGAAGTCGTTTTTCCAAATATTCCGAAACTCATAAAAGTTTTATCCATTCTCCGAAAAGAAAATAAGGATATTGTTGATAAATATCATTCCATTTCCATTACCTATTGAATATTACTGGAGTTCAATCCCAACACCAAACCGGTATTTTTAACACCTCGACACGTGTTTCAATCACCAAGTGATCATCTTCAAAAGGAAAATTGAATTGTTAAATCATCCTCTTGAAGATGATCACTTTTGGTGGTTGAAACACGTGTCCAGGTTTTGAAAACGGTTTGGTGTTAGGATTAAACTCCAGTAATATTCATTACTACACCAAAGGTTCCAAACAATGCATCACAAATATACCTATATTTGTGATGCAATTATGGAAATAATATTGAAGAAACGTTTGATAACACAATACTCTGGATGATGGACAATTTGGTTTTCGTCCAGGATGCTCAACATTTAGGCAGTGAGAAATTTTGAGAACATTGTCGAAGGGCTCATACATGGAAGCTTTTTTGTTAGATAGTTTTCACAGCTGCAAGTATAGGCTCAATTTATTCAAAATACCTATGATTGAGTGTATGATATGAATGTTGCATTTTGAAAATGTTGAATTGTATTCAATTACAATTTTGTATCAGATTTATAGTACCTTGTTGTAGCGGCTTTTTGCAATAACTATTCAGTGATCGAAGCTTCCAAAATAATGGTATGCAAATATAGGACGAATGTTTTCCGGATCACTCCCCAGAGTCGGTATTTTCGGCTTATTCCTGACATATCAGTCAACGGGTGAATTCAAATTACCTTCCCCTTGAAACAGGAATCCATTATTACTTGGAGCACGTTCATTACACGAACGACCAGACAAACATTACCATATATACCAAGAACGTCCGTGAGCGGCGCTCTCTATTTACCATCGACCTATAATTAATTATCGAGCCGGCCAGGAATTTCCCGCCAACATTTCCTGGCTGCCGAAAACGCTTAGGACGACTCGCCAGGAACGCGGTTATTCGGTTCAGGAGGAGAAGCTTGTGATAATGCGTTCATTATCGTTATCAAGCTGGTAACTTTTGTCAATTGGGAGTTGATTGTAACAGAAGCAGAACATCCTTATATCAGTATATGAATGATTGTAGATTATAGTCTGTCGTACGAATGTTCAGCCTATCAGACCCAAAAAGTCCTTTGTACAACCATAACGTAATCCAATCGAGGAATGTTTCAATTTTTTTTCTGCTTAATATACCTCATATTCTAGAGTCGTCATTCACGAGAATTAGTATGTTGGATAAATGATGGAAGTTCAAGTTTTTCTGAAATATCTGGAATTTATAATGGATGAAGTCACCACTTTATACTTTTGTTGAAAATACTTTCACAACATAATCTTTTTTTGTATCTGTTAGTTTAGAACGCTATTTTTCGGAAAATGCTCATCAAAATATAATAAGTTAGGGTACCATTGGAAGCAGAATTCAACGCAAATCGAAATGATGTGCCACTTGACCCCCTTCCCATTTAAAATTCTGAGGGTAACATCTACCCCTCTTAGGGGGTAGAACCCCAAGGGCTACAAATAGTCCTTGAAAGTGTCTCTCTTGACAATAAAATTGACCTGTCTATTCGATTCATGTTATTGTTAACTGGCAGGAAGACATTAAGGGTGAGAAATTGTCAAATTTACACCCTGTATAATGTTTTTAATCTGTCAGTCTTAATACGAAATCATTTATTGTGTAGCAATGGAGAGGCATAATTTTTAATACTTCAAGTGACAATCTACTCGAGGTTATATGAAATGTATACAGAAGAGCTTCTCAGTGACATATATTAGAACACCCGGCCAATGGACCAACTGATAGCGACGAAATGTATCAACACTAATGAGCCGAGTGCTCGAGCCAGACAGTAAGTAAACGGTACGCAAGCGCAGACAGTGTGGTTGTCTCACTAGCTCTCACACAGAAGCTCGGCTTTGCAACTGATAGCTAAGGAGCCTCGTTTATTTTTGATATCCGAATATTGAGTTCTCTGTCGATCCAATAGATGGCGTCTTGGTTAGAAAAGATGTTGACCGTTCTCCAATGTCTTTCAATCAATGTTACCACTGAGATTGAGAAAGCACTCATAGATTGAAAATGTCAAATTTATTGTCATCGAACAGATCCGTGTTTAAATGCTGTCTCCACGTAGGTGGAAATGTCAGTTGTCAGAATTTGAATTTTCTTTGACAATTAACAAATTAAAAATTTGTGTGTGATCTGTGATCTGTGCCTCTGTGCGTCTCATATAAAGAAAAAAAAAAAGCTTCAATTATTATTATTTATTGGCTTCGCCCACTAGTACTATGGATAGGTTCGTATAATTATCATATATAGTATGCGGTGTACTGTGGTTTATATTTTGTGTATTTGAAGGTTCATCATAAAAACAAAAATCAAAGATTTCAAAGCTGCTACCAACTGTGTCGACCAGAATCAAAATGAACACTCCTATGCATCTACATCAATTTCCGACTCCATAGGAATAAAAGAAATTGAAGAGTCAGATACCAGTAGAGAGGAAGAGTCTGAACCTCAAAGAAAAAAACAAAAAGTCTACAAACAGAAATTCAGAGAAGAGTGGAAACAAAAATTTCCATGGTTAATTGTAACCCACAATGAAATACCAATGTGTGAACCCTGCAATCGAGTTATGAAATCCTCACTATATTGTGTGCGAAGACACGAAGAGTCAAAAATGCATATTGAAAATATTAAGAAATGTGAGAAAACTCCTAGAGTGGAGAGTTTTTTTTCCAACAAATGAACAAACAAAATTTCATAAGATGGTTAAAAGGGCAGAATTAGGTCTAGTGGTTTTTCTTCACGAACATAATTTACCATTTATATTGATGGATCATTTACCTCAACTTTGCTCACACATTTTTCCAGACTTCCAAATAGTAAAAGAGCTGCGATGTGCAAAAACAAAGGCTACCAAGCTAACAAAAGATTGTTTGGCAAAAGAAGAATATGAAAGTGTAGTCGAAGTTTTAAAAACAACAAATTTTTCACTAATTATAGATGAAACAACTGATATTAGCAGTGATAAGTCACTTGCAATTGTTGCAAGGTACTTTGACGATAAAATAAATAGAGCAATTGATACATTTTTTTCTTTATTGAAAATGGAGGGGAATTGTACTGGAGAGATTATATTTTCAAAAATTAAATTCATTTTGGGAGAAGCAGGTATACCTTTTGTAAACATGATAGGATTTGGAGCAGATAACACTTCAGTTATGATGGGACATTTATCAGGAGTACAGTCATTTCTTAAAAGATTAATTCCACATATATTCATCATGGGCTGTGTATGTCATTCTTTCCATTTGTGCTCGTCCGCTGCTGCTGAAAAATTACCTAGAAGTATAGAAGAATTTCTCAGAAGTGTATACAGCTGCTTTTCTCATAGTAGCTTGAGGAAATATCATTTGAAAGAATGTCAGATATTTTCAAATCTGAAGCCACACAAACTACTTCATCCATCTCAAACAAGATGGCTATCTCTTCAAGCAATTACCAATTGTTTGAGAATACATTATTTATAATTAGTGGAATTCTATTGGGTTATAGAATAATTGAAATTACTTTTCAGGTAGCAGTATGTCGCCTATTGGAAAACTGGAATGCACTAATTTTGTTTTTTACCAAAGAGTGTATTGAAAAAAACCTCCATGCAAGCCATAATTTTTTGATTGGTTTGAAAAATCCTGTTTATAAACTATATTTTACTTTTCTGAGTATATTTTAGATATTGTTAATGAGATGAATTTGGAATTTCAATCAGAAAAAGCTGAAATACATCTTTTACAGACACGTATCAAAGATATGTTATAGGACAATATTAAAAAACTATTTAATAAAAAAAGCTATAGAATCAGAAGCTTTAGATAAAATTGACCCTAGCAACCCTAGGATTTTCTTGAGTATTGAAAACATGTATTTTGGGGCAACAGCAGAAATATTAATATATAATGAAAATATTCCTTCCTCTGAACTTCATAATTTTGAACTGAAT